GCAGCATAACATATAATCATCGGTAGATTGTATGCCATTTCACTTTTTAAAAACTTTTTTTCTTTCTCCCTCCTCATAAACATTTAGCAATATAAAACAACTCTTTTTGATCTAAAATCTTAATATCAATCGTAATTTACCTTTAAAACACTTGATTTAATTAATCATTTCTAATTATTGTCATTTTTTTTCCTTACCTATTATGATACTCAATCCTACATTATCCAAAAAACCACAAAATTCTAAAACTTTTTATAGGTTGACAGCGAAACCTTACCAACAAATTTCCCAGAGCCAACAAACCAAGAAAACAAAAAAAAATTTTTTTTTGAACGTTTTTCACACTTGGATTGTATAATTATGTTTCTTCAATAATTTGAATCTTACTTTGGTTTTCGAAACATTACTCCTTAGATATAAAATTTTACTTACTTTCATTTAATTAAAACAATTGACACAAAAAAAAAAAAACCGTTGATTTATTTCTTTTCCTAATATATAACGCATTAGCACGTATGTTTCTCTTTCGTATTTGTAAAACTTTCTTGAGGGATTGGGTTTGGTGAACTTTTTGGCACAGTCATGTTTGGAAAACTATTAAAAAAAAAAAAGAAAACACGAGTAAATTACATACGCGGGCACATCGTCATTGGTTTTATGGGTTTTATTACTTTGTGCCCCTTTCTTATTACTTTGTTTCTTCTTTATAAATTTGTGTAATACCCTTTTTTTTTTTTTTTCTTTTGCTAATAGAATTCGATTTTCCTTCATCTTTGTTTAAATGTATTATATTGATAACCTTGTGTCAATTAAATACGACAAATTCCAAACTTAATTAATTTCAGGTAAGATGATCAATACATTCGCGCGTGCGATAATAATCAACACAATAAAAAAGCAGTGACTTCCAAATGTGACATCTCATTTGTCTATCTCGGGACCTCTCTTCTTTTCAATGTATTCCAGTCTCAGTTTGTCGAGTTCTTCCCGAGTTGTGCTGTAAATGACAAATCAATGATTTTAATCTCGTAGTGAAAAGGTCATTAACTTAGCAGTGAATCAAATTTTTCCTACAAGCTTTGTAAACACGAATTCATGGCTTGAAGTTGTTTTCTGCACGCCCAAACTACCGAAAAAACCCTTCCAGTAGTACAATCCACGAAATCTGTGATACTAAATGTCTCAAAAAAATGCAAAAGAACGACCAAATCGAAGGAATTCCAATCGTACCACGAATAACGTGATTGCAATTTTTTCTTGCGTTTTTTTTCAATTGGTCAAAAAGTTTTTCTTCTTCACCGCGTGTTAATATGTTCATTTTCTTTTACGCGCAAGAATGAGGTAAGTGTTACACTAACATTGGGGGAGCATTAGGTCAACCAACAAAAAAAAAAAGGCAATGGTCGATCTAATAAAAAAATTTATCACATGACAGGCAACAAATGGCAAATCTTGTTATAAGCAACGTAACAAGGCAGCGTAATTAGAACAAACTCGAGTTGTTGAGAAGTTTCATCTATTATAGTCATAACATCATACTTGTACTCCCCGCGCTTTACAGTCATTCCTTTATTTGATCTGACTGTGTGTTAACCCCGTCCCGAAAATGTCGGAAGCTCACCCATCTGGTGACGATGAAGTCGAAGATTTCAAGGAACAAGATCGGTTTCTTCCGATAGCAAACGTCGCGCGAATAATGAAACGCGCTCTGCCTGAAAATGCCAAAATTGCAAAAGAAGCTAAAGAATGTGTGCAAGAATGCGTTTCAGAGTTCATTTCATTTATAACGAGCGAATATCCTTTAAATGATTCAACGTTGGCTACTTCTTTAATCCGTTCTCGAAGATTGCCCTTAACTTTTTTTTTCTTACAGCAAGTGATCGCTGTCAACAGGAAAAGAGGAAGACGATTAATGGCGAAGACATCTTATGGGCCATGCAGTCTCTGGGTTTTGAAAATTATGCGGAAGCACTGAAAATATATTTGGCGAAATACCGAGAGGTTTGATTCGGAGATACTTCTTTCTATTAAAAGCAAATTTGATAATACTGACACATTAATGATTTGTTTTTAGACTACCAAAACTGAGCGTTCTTCCGCGAACGCGAAAGATAAAGACGAAGAATCTGCGAATGTAAATGATATGTATCCGCAACAGCAGCAACAATCACATCCTACGGGTGGTTTCTATCCCGGTACTTTGTTTTTTTTTTTTCAGGGTTCTATATGAAGCATCGGATGATATTTTAACTCCATGTTATCATTATTTAGTATCACATCAACCCTTTCTTGGTGACAACGCCTCTGGATAACATTATCGCACTTATCTTTTGATACATTACGTTCATTAACTATAATTTTTGACTGTCTCATTTAAAAATATATATTTTTTTTCTTTTTTTTTTTTTCTTTCCATTTCCATTTTATACTTCATCTCGCCGACCTTTTCAACGCGGAAGAATGTGTTATGATATACCATAGAATTTGATCTCAAACTCGTAATATCTGGATGAATTTTAGAGCCTTAATCATTGTATAAAATTTTATTTAAATACACTTTACACAGGCCAAATCCCGGTTTTTTGTAAATATAGACATTCTACTGGTAGAAATGTCGCGTCTGAGATTTTCCCACTAACGAGTTTATTCTTAAATATAGTAGACCAGCGTTGATTTTATTAAATCACGTTTCTCTTGTCTAAACCTCTCCCGATTAGAGTTCAATTTAATTACACGAGATCGAAAAGAGGTAGGATCTGTCCGGTTCGGTCCAGCCCGGTTTTTTAGTATGTTGTTAGTCAAATCCGGATTTCCAGGTGTATTTATTAATAACATAATATAAATTATTGTTACTATTAGTCGATGTTAATTAGATTACTGTATATCGTATATAATTCTTAATGAGATATACGGTATATTAAAAAAGTCTTTCTTTGAACAAATTTTTGTATTACAAAATTAATCTATGTGATTTTGTTTTTTTTTTGTGAATAACCTGCAGCCAGGTTGGAGTGGAAGTTTATTAATTAAAAGAATACATAAGTACATATTCATTCAAGTAGCATATACATATTCGAGTTAAATTTAAATACAAATCTAAGTTTGATCTTGAGAACAATTTATTGTTCCATATAGTCTTTAGGTGAATATTTAAAGTTAATATATATTGCTTTATTTTTGTTTAATGCTAGTTACATATGCTTTATTAAATATTTAGGTTATATATATTGCTAAGGTTAACTTTTTAATTAATTTACTTATTCTAGTTTAAATAATTCTAAGTATATCTTTGGAAGTAATTTGATATTTTATTAATAGTTTAAATAAGATTTTTCAGTTATTAATATAACTACCTATGGATTACTACTATAGAATTAATCTATATAACTTTTTTTTTTTTTTGTAAATAATTTATAACCAAGTTAAATTAAAAGTTTATTAATTAAAAGAATACAAAGGTATATATTTATTTATTATGATATATTTTTATTAAGATATACTGTATGCATATTATTTTTTAAATATAACAAAACTATACTTTATTGATTCAATTGAAGTAACAAAAGAAGAAAAACTATCTTAAACTGTGCATTCAATCTATTTCTCAAATAAAATAAATAATAGGATAAATATTTATCTTTTGACTATTATAAATAAATTATCAATCAATTTTTACTATATAATTTAGTATTTTTTTTTTTTTGACCCATCATTAAGCTAACACAGTTTATCTTTATTATATATTTAAAATTATTATATGATTTAAAAAACTTTCATATAACAGCTTATCTATTTTAGAAGTTTAACTTCTCTAGATGCAAATTAGGAAATAATATTTTGCTCTCTTAATAACTTGAATTATCCTTTAGCTATCAAGTTTATTGCTTACAGATAATGATCACAGTTTTGATCTAAATTTGATTGATCTATAAATTAGATACAAATCATATCAATGCAAATTTCAAAATTTTAATTTGATCAAATTTGGATCAAATCAAATTTTAAATTTATAAAATCATTAGATTCAAATTGAATTCAAATCAAATCATATTTGAATCAAATCTGATATAAATTAAATTAGATATGAACCAATCCATATAAATTATTATATAATTATTTAATTTTATTTGAATTGAACTATCTAAGAAATTAAAATAAAAAAACTTGATTTTTTTTTTTTAATAATAATTAAAAAGCAAGTTAAAAAAAAATCCAATACTTGTTCTTCTTCATGGTTTTTTAAATATTTCTTTGCAATATTATAGTTTTACTGATTAATACTTTCATCATATTCTTTGCTTTTGCTAATTTATTTGTTTTAAAAATAAAATATAAAAACTCATTTTATAGTATTTAATTTGTATATAATAAAAGTAGTAATTTAACTAGTCATGATAATATGGATATTAAAAATACTAATACAAGCAATTTATTGAAATTAACCTTAATTATTTCAACAATTTCTAGAAGTAAAATATGAAAACACTTTACAAAAAGTACAAGTTTTAAAAAGGATAAAATGACTATCTATATATATTATAGAACAATATATATTTATAATGGAAACAGCATTGGCTGATTCTTCTTTTTTTTAAAAATTTCCTTTTTTGATAATTTTCTTGGAAAAAGTAATCCAGTTCAAACATACAAGGAAAACAACATATCCTTTGAACCAAGCTACCAAGTACTTTCAAACACATATACAACATATTATCCAAAAATATCAAGGAAAGAGGTATACATTGCTTTACTAACTTTTTACTTCTTTTTCTAAACAATTTTTTAGAAGAAAGAAACTAGACCTGCAAACTGATTCACAGTCAGAAAAAGGAAACCAATATCAACTTCACACAGTTTACAGCCAGGCCAGTGCAGGTTAACATTTTTCTTGACACTGTAAGGAACCCAAAAAGCAACTAAGCCCACTCATAAATCAAGTTGCTTCAGTTACTCAAAGGCCCAGAAGGATATCAAAGCTTTCTAAAGACAAGATAGTCTAAACGTACATACACACATAAATAACATACCTATTCCTTCTCTTGTCATGCAAACACGAACACATAAAAACTAGACAAGCAAAACAAGTATATAC